GAAAGTCCATATGTTATCAATAAGGCCTTCTCTAGGGGAACGTTGATTTTGGCAGAGATAGATGGGAAAAAACTGAGAAATCCAATAAACTCGACTCTGTCAAGAAGTAATATGCTTGAAGAAAAATGAAAAATGAAAAAAGAAAAGAAAAATGATGGAAAAATGAAAAAATGAAAAAATGAAAAAAAAATGAAAAAAGAGAAAAAAGAAATAAAAATGAAAAGAAAAATGAGGGTTCGAGATGAAAATCCACAAAGAAATCTTGAAACCAAAGGAAGGCTTTGAGTTGAAAACCTGAAAAGGCGACTCAAAGACATTTTGAGATTAGGTATCAGGTAGATAAACCCTTTTGAGAGTCCGATATTTTGAGAGAAGCTTCACGTACACAACATTATGGCAACCCTTGAAGTCCTCCAGACAGAAGCTCAATTCAATGCTCCGAGTTATATCAAGTGGATTGGTTCAGGAACACTCGTGCTAGTGATCCATACGGACATCTGACTTGTAGTTCTAAATTTCCACTATTTATATGATTTCCATCACTTTGTAAATTCAATTCCTTGTCAGTAAATTCGAAGTTTGTTATTTCAAGCCCAATTCTATTTGTTTTGTACATACACATAAACATCTTGTAAGTAGATTGAATGGCATTAAAAAGAAAATAAAAGATTTCTTGGTATTACTTTGAACTAATATTTCCAGTATAGAGAGTCTAAAGTAAGTTAGGTCCATAATACTCGTGTATATAGTCGAAGAATATAGGGTAAAACATGGCCAAAGAAAATTCATATGAGCTGAAATCTCGAAAAGCACATTGAAAACACTGATATTTTGGTGTCTGCTAAGACAAAATCTTGTCAAGAAATTATTTACTTGACAGAGATGAGCGGTTCAAATGGAAGCAGAAAAGGATTTGTATGGGAACGAGAGAAATGAGAACTTGTATAAAGTAGCCCAAGTGAAGCGTGAAATGCAAACAAAAGATCAAATGACGCATTTGAATTGAAGATTTACAGGATAACAGAGCTCACAATATTAAAACGACATCATGCATACATCAGTAGGCATCTATAAATAGGAGCATGCCCATCCATTCATTTTCATTGAAATGCTTTGAATATTTTGACAAAAATGCAGAGATATTCAACAACAACTATGATCCACCGCAGAAGGAGGTGTACCAACATTTCCAAAAAGTTCATAATGAGAAAAGCTCATCCTAAAGGAGAAAGTTTGTAATGAGAAGAACATGTTCCTTTCAAATCCACCCCAGAAGGGGGTGAAACAATATTTCTAGAAGAGTTCATAATGAGAAGAACTCATCCTAAAGGAGAGAGTTTGTAATTAGAAGAAGATGTTCCTTTCAAATCCACCCAGAAGGAGGTGAAACAACATTTCCAAAAAGTTCATAATGAGAAGAACTCGTCCTAAAGAAGAAAGTTCATAATGAGAAGAACTTGTTCCTTTCAAATCCATCCTAGAAGGAGGTGAATCAACATTTCCAGAAGAGTTCATAATGAGAAGAACTCGTCTTAAAGGAGAAAGTTCATAATGAGAATAACTTGTTCCTTTCAAATCCATCGCATAAGGAGGTGAACCAATATTTCCAGAAGAGTTCATAATGAGAAGAAATCGCCTTAAAGAAGGAAGTTCATAAAGAGAAGAACTTGCTCAATTTTTCGCTCGATTCTATCGTATAAGGAGTTGGATCAACATCATCGTTTTGCTCATCCATCACATAAGGAGCTGGATCGGCATCACTATTGGATCAACTATCACAAAAAGAGAGAAATTGACATTTCCAGTGAAGAGGTCGCAATGTGACAAAAAGAGACCAAGATGAAAAATGGTGCTTTTTTATCTTTGCTTCATTCCTATTTCACAAGAATGAGCAAAGAGGGGTAGCTGTAATCACCATTTTTCATATCCTAAATCTAATAACCCAAACCTCTTCAGACTCCAAACTAGCCCAAAATTTAAATCAAACCCAAAAAAACCAACAAACCAAATCCGACCCGGATCCAATCCAAGACTTGACCCTGTCCAAACACTGTGCCTGAGCTCACCATACCCTATTACCTCATTCCTGCCACCAGTAATGGCCACCATAACGCTCCAGTCAAAGCTTGACATACCACCATGCCCTACACGGTGTTAGTAATCATGCCGAGAATCACAAAATACAAAATTTTCTCTACCAAATGTATTTGTTTATTGGGATTTGATTTTTGATGTAAGGGATATATAACCCATGAAAAACAAAAAAGTACACAGAGGGGCAGAAAAAAATTTGGACAGAAATAACAAAAGAAATTCCACAAGTTTTCTTCAACAATTATCTTTAAGGTATTCTAATGTGTGTTGTTTGCTTTTTTTCTCCAGTTCGATGCTAGTTATAGGGTAAAAACGAAAATAAAATAGATAGGGGTTAAGAGTTACCTTACTACCTTTTAGTGTTCTTTGGGTAGCACCGTCGTTGAGGAGATGCTAGGTTAGTCATCGATGAATTAAGGTCGTTTGACCAGCGCGTGGGATGGTTGTTTCTAGGCTGGGTTCTCATTCGAGGAGAGGAAATCGAATGGTTTTGTGCAGTGGTTTGGGTAGTATTTCTACAGCAGGTAGGATATAAACTAGAGAAGAATGGCCACACAAATAGAGTGGCCGATGGGTGGTTGATTGTGGCCAAATGGTGGGTTGGCCACCGTGCGTGAAGAGCGATGAGGGGATTAGGTTAGGTTTTTTCCAAGGTCAGTTGGTGATGGGATTTCATGGTGTCGATGGTCGACAGTCGAGTGAGTGGCCACCCACGCGTGGTGGTCTTTGTGAAGGCTTCAGTTTTTTTTGGGGTGAACTGCCGCCATGGGTTGAGAGAGGAAGGAAAGAGGAGAGGAGAGTTAGGGATTTTAGTTTTTATTTTCGGGAAGAAATAAAATCTAGAAATGGGGGAAGTATTGATATTTTAGGATTTTTGGGTAAATCACGCTAAGGTCTCTAGACCTTTAGCGTGTTTCGCGTTCTGGTCACTAGTTTAGGGTTAAATCACCCTTTTGGTATTTTTTATTTAAGGTGGTTCGTGTTTCAGTAACTTTTTTGGGTTAATCGAGCCTTAGGTCCTCCTAGTTTCAGCGTGTTTACATTTTGGTCCCCATTTCCTTTTATTTTCTAAGATTTACGAATTAGATGCATGATTTTATATTATTTAAATTTAGTCCTCTGTTGGATGTATTATTTTTGTTCCAAATTGGCTACTGATATTTATGCTATTCCATTTTAGTCCTATTGTTATGGTTTTATTATGATTCTGGTGCTTTTATTTTGTTATTTTCTTGTTTCATGCCATAATATTTGTTTATTAATGTTTAGGATCCTAAGGTTACTATATATTTATTTTTATGACCATGTAATGAGTAGAGTCATATGTATATTGTTTATTTGTACCATTAAAGTATGTTCTATGTTTTAGATATTTATTTTGCTTGTATTATTTATATATTATTTTGTACATAATATCGTATATAAACCATGGTATCAATATTATATTTTACATTTTCATTATATTTTAGAATAAATATTATGTTCTTTGTTTAATATCTTTTTTAAAAAACATATGTATATATATTTATAAAATAAAATAAAGTTAAAAATAACCCTAAATTATTTTTTAATCCATATGTGCATTTATATTTTTTTCTCTAAGTGCTTCAATGTATCATATTTTATTTTGTTTAAAAGCCTCATTAGTATATTTTAACCGATTACATAATTGGATTAAGGGTAGTATTTATGTATTTTAAAATATTAAGAAGAGACAGTCTTAAGACAACTAGATTTTATTTTTTTCGATATTTTAAAAATAAATAAATATCCCACTAGAAAAACCTAAAAAAATTGATTGCATTTAAAATTAATTAATTTTGAAGGGAAAATGAAATATTCACTATTTTAAACTTATTGAGACAATTTGTTAATTTTATTAGGGATTAAGTCTCGGTATTTTTAAATAATTGTATATCCCTTATCTTTTCTAATAATATAATTAGGATTAATGGGTTTAATTTCTTTCTTTGGCAGAATAAAAATTATTTTAATATTGAATCCTTAGGAAAAATTATTATATTCTTTTTATTTCAGTTGGAAAGAGAAATATTCATCCTAAAGTATTTAGGGAGTATTTTCTCTTCAATTGGATATATGAGAATATTTTCTATATTTCCTTAGAATTTTTGTTCTATAATATTGTATGGTTAAATTCGGAATAATGGAATTGTGATTTAAATATGTATTCAAATTGTTAGATTTCTACTATTTAGAGAGAATATATAATCGATGAGTAACAATTTTGGGCGTTGTGTGGGGTGTTATCCTTCCCCTCATGTCGACCCCCGAACGCTTTTTATTACTAAAAAATAAATTTCTGGTTATACGTGGAACAGAGCATCTTTTAAAGTGACGTTTTTCTTAAAAACTCTTTTAAAAGAAAACTTTTTGGTATCGGCCTACCTAACCCAAAAGGTCAATAGTGACACCAAAACGTTTCTTTATAAATTCGGGTTTTCACGAAATAAGTTGAGACTCGTCGTATCGCCGAAAATCGGTTACGACAAGTTGCATCATCAAAGCGTATATGCATGTAACTTTCTTTTATACATAAAAGTTGACAGTCAATCTCATCTAAGGAGGAATCTTTTTTTTCCTCCTAGTCATGAAGGAATTGTTGTCAATGGTGAAGATTTTGTTGCAAAACCAATGTTTGAAAGTTGAGTTTCTTCTCTCCTTGGATCAAGTTTTCTTTGAAAATTATCTGTTCGAATAACTTATAGTTGAAGCAGGTACTTGTTATCTTTCAAGCAGTCAAGTCAAAGACTGGTTTCCCATCAGGCAGCTCAGTATTAAAAGGGCATTTCACCTAATATAGAAGGAACACTAATCAAACACCCCCCCCTCACGCCAACGTCGGTTGGATTGCTAAATTATGTTAGTAGAGGAGGAGCTGTCACTTCATTTCCGATGCACCATATTTTCATTGATAATTTTATTTAGTCACATGTTACAAATTAGGAGGGCAAAACAGGAAATACCCCAACCAAAGATATGTACATAGAATGACGATATACCTGGAGCTATCCCACAACCAGAGCCTAACATCAACTCTTATATCCAATACCTTTAAGCAGATGCCATCAAACGAAACTCTAGTGAAAAAGGGATCCCTAGAAGTACTGATGGAGGCCGGTAGATGGATGAGCACAATCCGAAAAACATAGGGTCTGTTTTTCTTGTTCTCTTTTCATGTTTAATCTACAACTTCTGTTGTTCCTGCAAGATGGACTAGTTATGTTACGTGAACCCATGCTTGCGGTTCGTAAAAGTCGTCGGAATTCTGAAAGGCTTATTTTTCCATCTTTATCAATGTCGGCCTCCTCAAGCAGAGGATCAATCGAACCTCTTAAGCCCGTATGCTACAAAACAACCACAATGTACACGTGGGAGCATAAGTATTATGCTGGTAACAATCTTTATAAAATGTTTAGATAAAAACACTTTTTTACAAGCAATAAAGTCAGTTCCAAACAGAAGGACTAGATTGAATTGCAGATTAATGTTTGACAATTTCAGCAGAATTAACAGCTTTTTCAGAAAAGGAAAAAAAGATTGACACCAAAAAAAGAACCCTTACCAGTCTTAGTTCCTCCGGAGTTATAAAACCATCTCTATCTACATCGAATTTCTCAAATGCAGCTTGTGAACGCAGCTGCCACTTATCAGAATCATGTTCTTCCATTTGATTCACATGTAAAGCTGCTGCAACAAACTCGGTGAAATCAACAAGTCCATCTGTGTTGCTATCGATCTGAAATGAAAGGAAATAAATAAGGCTACAACAGTTAAACCACTAAAAGGAAATAATATTTGAGAGATGGAACCAAAAATGAATGATGTTGGATGGAGAAAAGGGAAACAATAACTCACCGCTTGAAGAATCTCAAGCACTCGTGATTCCTTTAGCTTCCAAGGAACATCTTTAGCAAGGGCCTGCACCGATACCCATCCTAGTTAGGCCAAAAGAAAAATGCTTTCTACAATCTAATAGATGTTAGGCTTTATAGAAATGTTTACCTGTCTCATCTCTTCAAGGCTAATAGAGCCATTCTTATCCACATCAATTGCATCAAATTGATCCCGAAGATCGGCTATCTCCTCTTCATTAAGTGTGCTAGCCAATGCCTACAGGATAATAATCATTATATATAAAGAGGTGAACAATGAAAGGAGGGAACAGTAGCCTCTTAAGCCTATAATGATAAAATAATCCAGTACTGTTTCAAGAGGAAGAAATTCTATGTTTACCCTCAGAGCAAACTGCTTCAATTGACTATACTTCACAAATTGCCGGAGATTGCTCAAAACAGATATATCAACGGGAATATCAGATGCATTTCCTCCTTCCCTAACCCATGGGTGTGCTGGAGAAGTTGAAACCAATCAGATATTATAGAAATAAACAGGACGATGAAATCATAACGCGACAGAAGAATTACTTAAGCGGGTAAAAGCAAAATTGGCATGATATTCACTTCCTCGAGCTAGAGAAAGAGAAAATCGGAAAAGAAATAATTTACTAAGGGATGATGCAACATACATAGGGCCTGAGCTGCTGTCAGTCTAGCCCGAGGATCCTTCACCAATATTTTCTTCAAAAAGTCTTTAGCACCATTGCTAATTGTCGGCCATGGTTTCCGACGAAAATCAGGCTTGTTTTTCAGTACCTGTAGTTATGGACAGTTTCATATAAATGTTCCAGAAAATAAACACATTTTACAACAAAATAATAAAACACGTCTTAGGACATTACCAAGTAAATTTCATGGGAAAAAGCGTGATTATTCGTGGAAATAGAAGACAACCAAAAGCTAGAGCATAAAGGGTTAAATAAAGTGCAGAAACATGCATAGCACCAATGTAATATTCTCTCCATGTCTGATAATAAATAAAATGACTGAACCCATAATGAAGAAAAAAAATCAAGGTCCATGATATGGAAATGTACTACACCTCCTTAAATATACCATCCTCGGTCTTATCCCAAAAGGGACGCTTCCCACAGAGTAGAATGTAGGTAATTACACCGATACTCCATACATCTGATTCAGGCCCTGACCTTCTTTTTAGTACTTCAGGGGCAACATAATAGGCACTGCCAACAATATCTCGAAACCTCTTCCCTGCATTTAGTTGTAGTTTAGGATTGTATTGCTTGGGTGAGGATTATAACATTAGCAAGGTGCAAGTTAAACAGAAACTAATCACAATGACGAGTTGCAAAAATCATAACAAAAGCCATATATTGAACACGGATCCTGATAATTTTTAAAAGCATAAATTAAGCAAATGCCACTCACCAGGTCTGATAAAGTCTGACAAACCAAAATCTGTAGCCTTCAGATGTGAGTCCTCTCTGGTTGACTTGAAAAGGAAATTCTACAGGTAAGAAACAAGGAAAAAAGCAATCAGCATGACTTCCTATAGGAAAGTTTACAAGTAAGCCATGTTATTGTACTTGAGCATACCTCAGGTTTCATGTCACGGTGCACCAAGCCACGCAAATGACACTCAGCCGCAACTTTGAGCATCTGCCGTACAACCACTGCAGCATCTTTTTCACTATAACGACTGTCTTTTCTGATAGAAGACGGCAAGCATAAGTTACAACCGGCTTGCACTATTAAAAAAATCAAGGGAAAGGAAGTGCTGACTACTATATTTTGACAATAAAAACAAATTATTGATAAGTAACAGCTCTAAAAAATAACTAAGCATCCTTACTTGGCTAAAATTCTGTCCAGCAATTCTCCACCCTCACATAATCTAGAATCATACAACAACAACACACGATAGAGTCAGTCAGGTTTGTAACAATTTGGTGCAGAACCGAGCATCAAAAGACGAGAAGAAGGAGATAATACAAAGAAAATCAGAACTGAATGAGCTGCCAAAAAGAAGATAAATTACAAGACTTACTCCATAACAATGTACACATAGGAATCATCCTCAAATGCGTTATAAAATTGAACCATATTCTCATGGCCTTTCAGTGCTTCCAATATTTTGACCTCTCGCTTGACATCCTCAACAGCAATTGGAAGAATCATCTGCACCCAAACCAGGAAGTTAAAATAAGAAAAGAAATCTCACTTCAGGCTGTAAAAGAATAGAATCTAACGCAACTAGATATTTTATAAGCCAAACATTTAAATTTCATGCCTTAAGCATATATGTTAAAGGCAATGTTTTGCAAGAAAATGAAAGCAAAAAGTTCACTAAGCAAGAAAGCTTAGAAGACACGTCAAAGAGATGAAAATTGCCAACACTGGACAAGTTACTACTCGTAACCATTTGTTACAAAAGTTAGCATCTTGAGATGGAAAAAGAAAAGAAAGCACATCTCACCAGAAAAGCACAGCAAAAGTGAAATCAAACTCATCAAATTTAGAATAGTTTAGTGTAACTACATGATCTTCTATTAAATATCCCCACTCTGCATCTATCCAATTGAGTGACAGTTAGAAAGTACAGAAGACATGCAGATTAGAGGATGAAGCTTCAATCATGCTGACAATCAAATTCAATTATAGCAAATTTGCAGTCACAAATTTGTAATTATGCAAGTTTTCCATACCAAGGTCTTAAAACTGTACTAATACTGTCAAGCCGAAGAAACAATAGATCCAAGATCATCACAGCTCAACGAGGTTATCGTCAATCCCCACTTAAGTTTGCCATGGTTAAGGCGATGATGCTTCTATACTAAGAGAAACAAAAGGGGGGGGGGAACGAATCTTCCAATCATTAGATTACACAACATAAAAGAGAAAGCTCCCCCTACCCATGAGGCCATGCTTCATATCCAAGACAGCAAATTATATATTATCAATAAGGAATTCAAAGTACAAGCCAAAATTCCTTCACCCCCACCAATATAAACAATTTTAATCCAAAATAACACTAAAAATATACACCCTTTAAACAAATCCTACCTTGAATTGAAGAGAAATAGATGCAAGGAAAAGGAAAGGTGAATGAAATAACTAACCCCATGATCCCAGAAGCACAATCAAGCAAAGGATAATAAAGATTCACTTAAAAATTACCTTATTTTTATCAATTTTCTTAACGGCAACACGATCCCCATTCTCCTTGCCTATGGCAACATAGGTGTAACCAAATTGCCCATGTCCCAACAATTTCCCAATCGTGTAATGCTTATCAAAATCCTTATGGTACCCAAAATCCGTACGCTTGCCACATGGGATGATCCCACCTTGTTTCCTAGTACTTGGTTTTTGTTTATTTTTTGGAGGCACAGAACTGTTCACATGTTGCTGATGATGATGACCCTTTCGATTATTAGGCTTCTGAGAATCTTTTTCTGCATTGATCTTTGTTTCTGCGACGGATGATCGTTGTTCTTTGCGGTAGTGGGAGGCGGAGTTGCTGCTTGAACCACTAACTTTGATGGTGGAGAGACAGACACCCATGGTTATAACAACGAAGAAGAAAAGAAAAGGAGATAAAAGGAATTAGTTTTAGAGACAGAATTCCATATGAAAAGGGAAAATGGAATAAATAGGTAGGAGGGAATTAGGTATGCTCCACAAGGAAGAAGAAAGGAAAGGAGAAATAGGGAGGAAGAAGGGAAGAAAGAGAGGGATGATGAATGTATTTCCATTGGTCAAAATAGACTTTTTCTTCTACTCTTGTTTATTTTCTTATACCAAGTATTAAGTTGAATTGATACACCGATTTTAGGTCAACTTAACATTAAAACTTTCGATTTCAACGTATTAACAGTATCTTAAAGATTATAAGTTTGAATGAGTAAAGGTTGGGGCTTAAATTACTTGACATATACAGGCTTCTTTTACCAAATATATATTAATAATATACTAAATCCTAAAATTATGTTTAAAAATATATTTTATATAATCTCGAGTAATTATAAGTAGTATTTACTTAAAACATTTCTTAATTATTTACGGCACACATTTTATAGACGTCGTCATTTAAACTCAAAATTTAAGAATAACATCTTTTTTTAAACATTGAAATTAGGGTTGTAAATGAGACGAGACAGATCGTGAGTTACACGGATCGACTCGGTAAAAGCTCGATAAATATTCGACTTAAATTCTTAACGAGCCGAAACGAGTTATTTGATATTTGATTCAAAAAACTCACGAGCAACTCAAAAATATAATATATTAAGGTTTTATTTAAAATAAATATATTATTAATAATATTAACATTTATGTATTATTTTAAAAAAAATACAATATAAGGTTTTCATGTATTTAATGTTCGGGTTTGATTTTGAGGTTTTAATCAAGTTAAGATTAAGATTTTTTTTCATTGCAGACTTTTACGAACTTCAATTCATGGTTTCGAATTTGAATCGAACTTTAAAATTTTGAGACTCACGAGTTTAAAGTCAAATTTCATTTTAATTGAATCAAACTCAACCATATTCAAATATATTCATAATACATTTTTATTAGCTATATTTTCGTCTTGAGTGATATATTTTTGTCTTGATTCACGTGGATGTTAGAAGTGAGATTATTCTTATATATATATATTGTATGCTACGAGTGATTGTGCCTATTTCAGATATATGATTATTATTTTAAGTACTATTTAAGGGTTATGATCCATTTTTTAATAAAAAATTATGATACACTTACACTATATAAAATTAATAAATTTTATATCAATTTATAGTTATTAGATTTAAAAAAATAAATAACTTAGATTTAATTAAAATTTATAACATAAATAAATATTTTTTGACTCGTAATAAAACAATATTTTTTTCGTAATAAAACAATATTTTTTCTTTTTAAGGTTAGAATTTAGGATAAAGGATTTAAGATGTAAGCTTTAGAGTTAAGGGTTTAGGATTTGTATTTAGAGTTTGGAGTTTAATGTAGGAGTTTTAGGATTTGGGATCTAGAGTTTTAGATTTTAGATTGGGGTAAAAAGATATATTATTTTACTATGAGTTAAAAATATTTATTTATGAGTTATAAATTTTAATTAAATTTAAGATAATTATTTATTTAAATCTAATAGCTACAAATTATGTAAAACTTGTTAGTTTTATATAGTGTAAATGGATCTTATACTATTATTTAAATATAATTATTATTTAAAATATTTAAACTCAATAATTAATTATAAAGTAAATTTAAACAAACAATATCCAATAAATACACTTAACATTGAACATATCGTTATCATACTATCAAGATATAATTATAGAATAGATTATATATTATTGTCAATGATTATTAAGCAACTCAATTAAATGTGTAGTTTTATCATCCATAAAAAATATAAAACGAGTTATTGTTAGTACACAAATAATGAATTTTATGGATTATTCACATGATCTTCGTGATAAAAGAATTATTGTTATTTCTTGAGGTTATGAGTTTAAGCACTAAAATTTTTAAAGTATGAACGTTTAATATCAAATAATTATCTTTAAATAAATATTATCATTTACTTATCCTGTATTAATAAAAAATTATTGATATCACTCACATATAGATAATTATACTTTGAATGATATTCTGACATAATACAAGTGTATCAAAGTCTCTCTCTAGCCACAGGGGATCCAATTGAGACAACAAAATTTCATTACCTTCCACATGAAAGATTTTTGTTTTAGATTGTTTTTTGTAAAGACGTTGAATTTTAACGTGTTGAAAAACAACAGTAGCTAAGCTTAGTTAGGTCTTGTCTCATCTCACGTCATATTGTCATAATCTCCACTTTCAAGAGCAGTGAAGGTTTAAGAAAATTAATCAAAAGGAGAAGAAGAAGGTTTAGGAAGAAGAAAAAACAACCTTTTTTTTTCTGACTTTTCAACCAATTAATTATGAATTACAGACTAGCCGGATTTTAGTAAGTGTGAAACAAATCTTTGTAGGCTAAAATTAGACACATGAAAAGACAATCCCCGGACTCTATCAAAGATGTTAGGGTAAACTACAATACTGTTCCCTTTCACTTTCAGTCTATTTTATTTTCGTCATAAAATTTAAAAATATTATGTTCTGATCACTTTTGTTTTTCGATCTATCTTATTTTAGTTACTGAGCTGTTAGCTTACGTTAATCGTTGAATTTCAGATGAAATATCAATTAACACAATTGAATCTAATTAAAGTCCTCGTCAGTGGTCGTCAGTCAACCCTCACCACCGTTTTTAGTCACTATTGGTTGTCATCACTAGTTATTGCTAACCACTATCGTTGATGGTCATTAGATCCTAAAATTTTCAATGCTTTACTTTCTGACCTCTTGAATGTGAATATAATGTATTTTTCACCAAAAACTAATCCAAACTTTACGAACCTAATATAGAAGCCTTTAAATTTATTTAAAAATAAACTACAATAGTAAATTTACTATTATATTTCTTTAAAAATAAGGATATTGAAATTCTAAACTTATAACGTAACACGTTTACATTATAATGATAATAATTTAATTTATATAGATTTTGATATATTTTATATTTTATATAATTTTATTCTAATAAATTATAATATACAATTTATCAAAATCTATCAAAAGGATTGATATAATTACATATAATTTTTTTCTACAATTCTTTGAAGGATCCTTGATTTTCTTTTCAAATAAATAAAACGAAAAAACGGGTTTGTTTTTAATTAAAGCATATAAACTCAATTAAAACCAATCGTTTTAGGTTTGAATGAGTTAGGGTTTAGTTTGTTTTAAAACAAAGGTCCTTTTAACTTTATTAATCGAGTTTTTCAAATCACATCATCTAAAATTTATCTATTTTTAAAATTATGTTTGAATTTTGATAAATCTAAATTCAATTTAAAACTGTGTGCAAATTTTAATATCTTTTAAATTTTATTTTTATATTTCAATAATTGATAAGTGAATTAAATTGAATAATGGATAGAGCGAGAGAAGTGTTGAGGGATTTATACAATTGAAAATTTTAAATTCTCATATAGATATTTCTCTAACTTTCAATTAATAATCTAATTTTACGCCTTCTAATTTTTTTATGAATATACCATTAAGTTTCTAATTTAATATTTTAAAAGTTCACATCCCTAATATAAAATCTTACCTACATCTCTAAATTCAGATTGAAAATGTATCTTATATACTAGTTAACACAAATTATGATATACAATTTAATTTATATAAATTTATATTTTTATATTTCGATTTAACTAAGACAAAAAGCACACCTAAAGTACCTTATACAATATATAAGATACTAAAAAAATTAAAGACAAAATTGTGTGCGTCGAAGCATTCTTTTCTGAATCAGTCGAATAAAATCTATATTTTATAAAAGTGGTTGCCTCAAATAATTTGAGATTTGAATTTATTTATCCATAAATTATAATTAAAAGTTTATTTTTATATTTTTATATTTTTAAATAATTAATTTTAAAATTCAATAATTTTTTCAAAAATATATGAAATTTATAATTTTTTAAATTATAAAATATTTCTTATCATCCTTACCATTTTGTAAAAGAAATATTAGTTATAAAACTTTTATAAAATTATTTATATTTTAAATTATTTACCCTCAAAGTTTTCCTATACTAGATTATACGTATTGTGTAATTTCATGCAAAAATCAAAATTTATTGAGTTATAAAATAATTTACAAAATAAGATATAAATATTTATATGCAAAAAGTTTTTTTGCACACATAAAAAATTAATAAATAAAGTTAATGTTTTTACTCAAAAATTACACTAATAGAAATTAATTACATATTAGGCAACATTTTGAAACACTTTACGAAAATAGCACCCATCCCAGTAAGGTTCATTTCATTCGTCGCGTCTTTCAACACAAGACGTCACATCAGCGTAATGCACGGTGTATGGGCCATGCCTCTCTACAAAGGGTGCTATAACCGTAATATTTTCTTTAACGATGTCTGACACGTAAATAAAAAAACAGTGATTTTTCGGTAAATACATCGATTTCCTCACTTCATCGTTTATACATATGCAATATTGAATTCGGATCTAATTAAACCTATAAAATATTTTTAGTTTTAAAATTATTTGATGAGAAAGTAAAAAATTATGATTAATAAGTAGGAAATTAAAAGATATTCACTAAAAAATAATAAGTTAATCTCATTCTTTCATTTTTTTTCTCATCCAACGATTCTTTTTAATTTTACATTATATAATTACATCATAATATTTGTTATATATATAAGGCATAATGATAATATTAACCCCTAATATTTGTTAAATAATTATTTTGATCTCTAGTTTTTCAAAGTATTTTAATCTCAAACATTTTAAACTTTGTCAAAACAATCTTTATTATATGAAAATCATTTTTTGATTAATAATTAATTCATGTTATTGATGTGATATTTTTCTTATATACTTAATTGATAAAATTATATGTTTCATGTTATTTAAGATAATGATGCGACATGTATTACATTTTTAAGATAATAACATGGAGTGATATCATAACATGTGTTATGTCATCAATTAATTATGTGGGAGAAATATCATGTCATGTCATGTCAACCATATATATTAAACATTAGTTAACAAACGATTTTTATCCTGAAATAGTTATTTTACAAATAGTTTGAAATATTAAATTTAAAATACTTCAAAAAAAATTAAAAAAAATTAT